AGTTGTACAACTTACAGTGACACATGGTGATATACTGAAAATCTTCACCCTCACTAGGATTCCCTCGTTTTGCAATGAAGTAATTATTTGTGTGCAATAACATTTACCGTAAGGCCATGATTTGTTAATACTGTCACCAAAATAAATGCACCAAATTAATACTGGAACAATCTAACCAATATACAACAAAATAAGAGGCTCGGCTACAGAGCGAAATAGAAATTTACTAATCTCTCTCTCTCTCTCTCTCTCTCTCTCTCTCTCTCTCTCTCTCTCTCTCTCTCTTGATATAAATATATCATGAACCTTCTCCTCACTAAGCCATCACGGCCACCTCACACATCACAGTAAAAGCATTCACGATGCATCAGGATGAAGCTGATAATACCATAATAACTGCACTCAATTTCAACTTAGCCTAGTCACTCTTCAGCACTGAACCTTTCATAATATCAGTCCTCGTTCAACCCAACCGCCTAAATTGATAGTACCTATAGTAATTATTTGGTCGAAAGTACTAATATGTAGTGGTGGACCATCAAAATGTTGACGTTTTGTTATTTAAATTTGATCAAATGGATTTTTTTTCTAACCGGAACATAAATATAGAGCCTAACCAAACCTGTCTGGGCAGTGCACAGACCTAATGCATTCCCCATGTATATGTTTAAGTTTGCCTTTTACTTTTTATAGCTTTATAAATTAAAATAAATATTAAAATAAAGTCTTATAAATTAAAAATTATAGAAACAATTATTGTGGTAGTCCACCGCTTTGTTTTAGTGTTTTCAACCAGTTACTATAAATACTATAATTTCAAAAGGACGGGTTGTACTTTTGTAGAGGCACGAAAGCCTCTCGTAGTCCTAATATAGCACACATGTACCTTAGTGTAAGATAGCGTATATTAGCCCCAGGGATTGTTTATTTACGTCTTGGACAGGTTAGATTACGTTCTTTAGTTACTATTTCATTTGTTAGTATGCATTTAGGCCAGTCCCATCATATAAACATAACCCTATTGGTGTCAGCACTTTACACGATTGAGCAAATTGTTGTTAAAAGTACTATCATTACTAAAGACTGGCCTGCCTTAAAAACTCTGATCCCTTACTGAATATAATTCATGATTGTAATTATAATTCATTGTGTCAGGCTACAGGCAGCCAGTTTATACATACCGTAGATATTAGACTTATATCGAGGCGACCACTAAGGGTCGAATTACTGACCCTCCCCAGGATGCAACCTCACAATAAGCTAACTCCTGGTTATCATAAGAATATAATTGGCTCAAACATCAACTGCCATACTTGGTCACTGTTGGTCAACGGTGCTGACTAACAGCCCCGTTTACCTCAAAACCCATTACCTTGGTGGGTAGCCACACCAAGCACAATTGCCTCGTTAAGTACCCGGCCCGAAGCCCTCATCCTCGGCGAGAATCCACCCCAATCCTTCATCCTGGGTGAGTACCGCCTCAAGCCCTCATCCTCTGTAAGTTCCCGCACAAGACACTCACCCTCCAGGCCCTCCACGACTGTCGGAGCTCCCCCCTTCCCCACCACTCTCATCGGCCGACATTTTCGCTTGACTAAAGTAAGTAATTTTGTGATCAAGGAAGCAGAACACGAGGAGGCGGCGCTGGAGAGGCGATATTAGCACGCTGATGGTGAAGTCCCGCGGTGGGCGGCAATAACTCCGCCTCGCTGGTCAAAGGTGGTGGTAGGCATGATGGTGGTACTGATATTGAGAGCGATGGTGATGGTAGCAATGTAGGTTGTGGTGAGAATAACAGCGGTGGTGGTGGGTCTGGTAGAGTTGGTGGTGGAATGAAAGTGGTGACTGTGGTAGTGGGTATGGTAACAGTGTTGTGGTGGCGGTAATGTCAGTGTTGGTAGTAATACATAACTCAAGTAAAAGAAAAAAATATCTCAAGAGTTCTAAATTAAGAAATTAATTTCGTTGAACAGATCCCGATAGACAGTATACCAAGTATCAATAAAATATTATTTAATTATTGCTTATGTGCATGTATGTGCACATACATATGACCCTTGACTTCTGGTGTAGGCATAAACGTACACAGCATCCCCCTGTGTATATGTACACAGGATAATTGTGTGTACACGTCTCTGTGTACACAGTCTCACTAAATTGCTGGCCTGGTTGCACGCCAACGTTTTTGAGGAAGTATACTGCATTAGATTATAATTAACTACCTGGACCACCTGTGCTGTGTAGGAAGCTGTCGATTGTTTCCTGTGAAGGCAATAGACTCAGAGTGGTGTGTTGTCCTATAATGTGAGTGTGTGTGTGTGTGTGTGTGTGTGTGTGTGTGTGTGTGTGTGTGTGTGTGTGTGTGTGTGTGTGTGTGTGTGTGTGTGTGTGTGTGTGTGTTTCATAATGTGCATTCCATTCTATCCAGTGGTCGACCCCAAAGACGCATTCAGCAAGTGTAAAATTCTGTTCATTCAAAACAAAACTTTTCTCATATATAAATTAATATTAATTATATATTAGCATATTGTGCATACTTAGGCACTGATTGGGTTAGCTGTTTAGGGTCTGTTGGCGATTATTTGTGTTTGTAGTACGTGGGTGAAGCATTTACAGCGTTGTAGTTCGAACAAAAGTCGTCAGCAAAGCATTTGTTCCGGATGTGTTCCGACGTCATCAGTTAGGAATTGTATGTAAACCGGTTTTAATTCATAAACAGGAGGTTTGGCGGGTGCATGGAATGGACTTTGGGTCTTTGTTTAGAGAACAGGTTGTAATGTGAGTGGTGTGGGGGGGGGGGTTATAATGTACTCACCTAGTTGTGCTTGCGGGGGTTGAGCTTTGGCTCTTTGGTCCCGCCTCTCAACTGTCATTCAATAATCAATCAAATGCGAGTGGTGTGGTGAGTTGTGGGGATCAGGCTACTGGAGGAATTTATCAAAAAATGTTCCGACAGTGAATTCAATACTAGGCAGCAATATCATGTTGAAATTCCAGCCCGTCCTAATCAACAAGGGCCAAATGCTCGTTAATTCAGCCGCCAAACCCCCTGTTAATGAATGAAAAACGGTTTACACACGACCCGTCCTCAGACTAAGTCCATTATATCCAGCGGCAGCCTATCCTTATAAAGAAAAGACAAAGTCCATTCCATGCACCCGTCAAACCCCGCTGTTTATGAAATAAAAACGGTTTACACACGACTCCCAACTGATGACGTGCTTCGTCATCAGAAGGACCGGAACAAGTGCTTCGCTGACGACTTTTGGTCAAACTACAACGCTGTAAATGCTTCACCCACGTACTAGTATAGTAGGCATCCTTCAGTCTCGGAAGACTATGGAGTTGCGTCCTGACAGGGCGCAAAGCCTGGGTAGGTAGATATGGAGGAGAAGCTGTTATCCATGCAGCAGGTCCCCCCTCTCCACGTTTTAATTATCCAATAGAAAGGCAAATGCCAATACACATGGTTCCAGCAACGTCGCAGGAGCTGCCAGAACGAGGTCGACGTCAACAACGAACTGCCTTAGGGGCTCCAACTCCGGATTTTTCCTCGAGGTTGACTCCTGAAGCCTTTCCCAATAAAGGGTTATGGCCGCAAGGCAGCGGAGGTTTAAAATCAGGGTTTTCCTTCCCGTAGATGGGCTGCCTTCCCAGGCTATCGAGTTCCATCTACCCGGAGCAGCTGGTTTTAAGGCGCCAGAGGCACGCCCTCGCCCCTTCTCCTGTCGGTAAAAGCAGTTCCGCCGGACTTAAAGACTAAGCCACCCGTGCAGGCCAGGAGTTGGACTTGCTTGTCAGAGGCTATTGGAGACGCATGCCGTATAGGAGCATTTTATAGGTCATGGGAGCTCGTCCCCCATTACCACCCCCTGGCTATGGCAACCCCTTGGAACTACATATACAAATAATCGCCAAGAGACAATTAAACCAACCTAACCTAACCAATGTCTAAATATGCGTGCAATGTGCTAATATAAAATGTTAATTTATATTTGAAAACATCCAGATTTTGAATGAACAGCATGTTAAAATTAATGAATGCGTCTCAGGGGTCGACCGCTGGATGGAATGGACTTGGCCTGAGGATTGGTTGCCAGTGATCGACCCTAAAGACGCATTCAATAATTTCAACATACTGTTCATTCAAAATAAGAATATTGTCAAATATAAATAAATATTATTTTGTATTATTTAAGAATAATAATATTTAATATTTAAAAAAAAACTAAATAGACAAACCGCAGAATATACGATAATGCTGTAGTTTAATTGTCTATTAACAGTTTCTTTTCCATCTTGCTAAAAACTAGTTTGGCAAGCCACTCAAATAAAGTATAGAGCACAAAGATAATGTGGGCTAGGCCTGGCCGTCCTACCTGAGAGCACGTGGTCCGGGGCCGTGACGAGTGTCGCCGAGGCCTCCCTACCAACAACTCTTCACCCCGTGTAAACCATTGTTTACCCGCCTTGTTTTCTTGATTTACCACAACGTACAGGCACCTCACACATGTGCCTGTAAAACCCACGAACTGGATTGCAATGTTCGTTCCGCTCTACACTTCTCCGGGCGGCTTCAGTACTCTAAATTCGATAATATTGTGTGTGTTGTTTCAGTAACGGCGGCTGGGAAGGGAGTGCTGGACTAGCTAGCGCCGGGGTCCGCACACCTCCTAAACACTCACCAAATCTTCGGAAATCCAACCGCCAAATTTCCCTGTTTATGGATGGAAAAAACAGTTTACACATTACACAGTTTACACATTACACTTACACATTACATTACACTTAGGTTAGGTGTTTTGGTTCTGTTGATAATTCTGTATTTGTAGCGGTTGAACCCACACATGAAGCGCTCTCACCCCCCCCCCCCTCCCTCCAAGCCTGCACACGTGGACCCCTTCCCCCTCCCCTCCCCGCAACACAAGATACCATCCCACACCAACTCTGCCTATCCCACAATCCCACATTTACCTAAAACTCGTTCCTCTCCCTGTCAGGAAGTTCGTGTTCGCGCCAGTATGCAGAGGAATCATCGCTAAGAGGATGGTAGCTGAAAAACGGTCGCCGTTCAGGTGAGTTACCGTCCTGACGCCTAACTGTTTTGTTAACAATTGCGTAAACAATATTATGTAGGTATAATATGAGCCGTTGTTTTCTCTGTGACAGGCCAGCAGGAGACACACAGTGGAAGGAGCACTACCACGCCCCGACGGAGACTGACACAGACGGCCTCCTGCTGGCCTCCTACGATGATGTCGTCGACCCACGTCCCCAGGATGACATGGTTCGTTCATCCATCTTTCTTTGCAATTGTCTAAATAAGCTGAACGAACATCAGATAGATAGATTTTTCAAGGGAAAGCGCCAAGCCATTGTGGCTATATAGCACTAGGAAGGGGTCAGGAGGCCAAGATAGATAGATTTTTCAAGGGAAAATCAGTAATCAAACATTTCCAAACTTGAAACACATTCCCTAAGAAACATTTTATATCCACCATATCTTTTGCTCATAGCCCGTGATGATAAAGATCAACTCTTATATACAGAGCCAACACGTTCTTGTTGGCTCATCTTGACACATAGTGATGCAACATCTAGTTACCTTCCATTACTGACGGTTGACCTCTTGTCAACCTCGCCATGACCTCGTAATACCCAATGACCCTTACTGGCTTCTTATGAATTCTAGTGACCCCAATTTGCCGTTAAGACCCCCTGTTTGCCCATTGGTGACCCTCGCCCCCTGTGTTGACCTCCATCCCCAGGTGGTGGTGCGGGCAGGGGGAGACGAGGTGCAGGTGCCCGCTTATGTCTACCAGGTCATCGAGAGGAGTCTTCAGGGAGAGAAGAAATAGAGGTGGTTTTAGTGCACGAGCGGCGGGAACGAGGCCGGCGCTGGGCGTCCTCGCTAAATATCTCTCTTCTACCAGTAATTTAATCGTTTGCCATCTGACCGTTCATCTTCCTCTGCACCAGGAGCCGCCAAGCTGAGAGGTGTCCACTGCCAATCGCGGCAGCCATGACACCTGTCTCTAGCTCATACATGAAATAATATATGTTCGTGGCTTGATATTAACTGATTCTAGTGAATGTTTGTTGAAATAATATGATTAATAAAAATATCTGTTAAAACTACGTCAAATTTTTACTGTACGAAAGAGGCTTTAAAATAATTTATATAAAAAAAATAACGTTTGTATGATGGAATACCGTTTGAAAATGGCGGGGTGTGTTGACGCAGCCTAACACCTACCTTCCTCCTCCTATTACCCCACCTTCCCCTCTCTAACTTCCCTCCCACCCTACCTCTCTCTCTCTCTCCCCCATTCTCTCCCTCTCTCTCTCACCCACCACACCTCCCTGTCTCTCTCATCCCATCTCCCCCACCCTCCCACTCCCCCTCTCCCTCACCCCACCAACTCCGTCTCGCCCTCAAAACACCCATACTTAAGAACCTACAAGTATATATAAACATTGGCCTTAACAACCTCCTGCGTTTAATAGGCTTTCAGTCAAACACCGAATTATTTACTTTTCTGTGATTATCATATAATTGGAATTCTTTGCTATTGAATTTGCCATTTTATGTTATAACTTAGTAATGCAGAATTTTATTTCTAAACTAAATATAAAGACCGGTAAAAAAAAAATTCAATAAAGCAAGAATTTTAAAAAGGAAATTAATTTTGTTCTATAAAATTATAATAAAGTATTTACGGGAAAATAATTAAATTTTTTTATTTAGCCATATGATTTTTAGTTACAATTTTTTATGATCACGTTAAAGTTAGGCTGCTCAACATAATAATAATAATAATTATTATTATTATTAGAAAGTATTATTATCATTATTTGTATTATAATATAATTCAGTTATTATTATTATTCAGTTTTCCTCATATAATTTTATAATAATTATTATCAGCATTATTTATTATTTTTACTGTTTTTATTATTATTATTATTACTATTAGTATTATTATTATTATCATACATCATGTATTTATATAATATTTCTGAATGGGAAGAAGGAAAAATAACGAAATGTTAATTATGTTGACACATTACAGTACTGAAATCAATTATATAAAGTTGAATGTACATTATATATATATATATATATATATATATATATATATATATATATATATATATATATATATATATATATTATATAAATTATATATATATATTATATAAATTATATATATATTATATATATATTTTATATATACACACAATTATCAAGCCCAAAAAACGAGCGGGGAGATGAAGGCGGTAATTGGTATTAAATTATTCCGGTCAAATTGCTTTTCTCCAAGACAAATTATTCTCAGCCTCCCATGGGACTCTACCTTCCTCTACCGGCGAAGTAATTTATAAACAACAGATTAAGGACCTCTGAACCTTGCATAATTGATTTATTGAGCAGCAAACACGTCTTTAAACCATCACAAAATATAATGCTTGTTCTAACGTACTGTAATTATTAATAAATGGGCTAAGACAACACAGTGGTACCCGGGTAGTAATGATGACTACTGTACCCGGATATAAGATGATGAAGATTATATCATCATATATGTATATATCGGGTGATATATACATCCTACGGTACCGAACACAAACACAGGTGATAACATGAAATATGTACAATCAGGAAGAGCTGTTGTGTCTATCTGCTCTCAAATTAGAGAATGATTTGCTTATCATCCTCAATATAATATATGGAGTGATTACCCATTTTCAAAAGGTGACATTATTGTTCAGAAGCCTAGCGGAGCTCTAGAAATATAATAGAAAGACAAAAACCCCATTTTCTTAGCTCATAAAATACTGTATTTATAAAATGAACAATCATGAACGGACATGTTAAACGTTATTCTTAAACTGATGCAAAGAAGCTAATTAATATATCACAGGTTACCAAAACAAGCTATTATGTGTCTCAACCGTGTACTCCTCGAGAGGGAGGCGGTACTTACCTGGCGGTGCTCGGGTGGTTGTGTTGGTGGTGGTGGTGCTAGGGTCGTGGTGGTGGTGATAGGATCGTGGTGGTGGTGATGGGATCGTGGTGGTGGTGGTGGTGCTGGGATCGTGGTGGTGGTGATGGGATCGTGGTGGTGGTGCTGGGGTGGTACTGGCAGTGGTGGTGAAGGGATGGCGGTGCTGGGGTCGTGTTGTGGTGGTGATCGGGTGGTAGTGGCTGTGGTGGTGGTGCTGGGGTCGTGTTGTGGTGGTGATGGGGTGGTAGTGGCAGTGGTGGTGGTGCTGGGGTCGTGTTGTGGCGGTGCTGGGGTGGTGGTGGTGGTAGTAGCAGTGGTGGTGGTGGCGAGGACCCTCCAAGTGGTCCCCGAGGCAGCACCGCGCCAACAACACCGTTATGGTGCTCGACGCTCCAATAAATTCCTGGACTTTACCCCAGGCGTTGAGTCAGTCTACGATTCTCTCAAGACGGGTCGAGTTACGCTGCTTGTCACCCACTATTTACATCTTAATTGGTTGCCGCCGTTATAATCGGTGGTAGGGTCATTTTTCTTACCAACTTGCAATTGCCTCGTTCTCCTCAGATTCCTGATGAAAAGAATATTGTTTTGAAATAAGTTTATGATTGAACTTGAATATGTATTTTGAATTGTTAATGCTAGTTGTGTTTGTGACAATAGGGGGGGGGGGGGAATCAATTTTGTAAGATAGATAATTGTTATATTATTAGGTAAATACTAAGAGGATGAATGAAGGTACTTATTACCACAGGTCTTATAACGAGACTCTTCCCTAGCACACACACACACACACACACACACACACACACACACACACACACACACACACACACACACACACACACACACACACACATACACACACACACACACACAGGGACGTTAGGAAGAACTTTTTCAGTGTCAAAGTAGTTAACAGATGGAATACATTAGGCAGTGATGTGGCGGAGGCTGACTCCATACCCAGTTTCAAATGTAGATATGATAGAGCCCAGTAGGCTCAGGAATCTGTACACCAGTTGATTGACGATTGAGAGGCGGGACCAAAGAGCCAGACCTCAACCCCCGCAAGCACAACTAGGTGAGTACACACACACACACACACACACACACACACACACACACACACACACACAACATGTCAACAAAGAGGAGAGAGAGGGTTGGGCTGTTTCATTGCCAGAAAGCTTTAAACACTGTTCCTCACAAGCGACTCCTTCGTGAGACCCCTCATTCAGTATGGTGTCCCGGAATGTAACCCCCTACAGGAGGAAATACCAGACTAGTGAAGGACCAAAGAAATGCAACAAATGTTGTTAATTAGCTAAGGAGATTAGGCTATGAAGAAAGACTGAGAAATTGATCCTATAATTCTGGACGAAAGAAGGAACTGGGACAGACGTGATAACCACGTAGAAGATTTGAAAGGGGAATCGATTAAGCAGATACAGAAGCCATGTTCAAAATGAAGAACAACGGAACGAGGAGACATAAATGGAGACATCATTGGAAGATAGATATGATCAAAATATACAAGATATTGAGGAGGGATAGTTGAGATAGACAGTGGTAGTCAATTCTACATCAGAGAAAACAGTACGACAGACTAACTTCAGGATCAGGTACGATAAAACATTACAAAATCGTAAGGATCAGACACACTAGGTACCTATGATGTCGACAGACTGGTGAGCCACACTACACGTCAGAAAGTAACAAACTTTCCACCCACGACCTTACTCCCGGACATATGACGCTCATGGAACATTATATCAACATTAAAAACGTTAATTTAACGTTACTCGAGTATATTTAGCTCGTTGGGATCCCACTGTGTACAGGTATTATGAGTCTCCTCTGCCCACACCTACCACCATCCTCCCTCAAGCCGCTGTGATTCACGGCACCTTAGTAAGGCATCAGTAGGCTAGAAACCTTACCTAAGTCGCCATCTTCGCTAAGTTGGCGCCACTTACTAAGCTTACAGTTTGGAGAAGTGAAAACCGCTAAGTCAACAGTCGCAAGAGCGCTAACAAGAGCTTAAACGACAATTATATACGATACGTTAATATTCTCAGATTTATATACCGAGAAGTATACATACGAAAAGGTATTTCACTTGCCTCTATCTCTCTCTCTCTCTATATATATATATATATATATATATATATATATATATATATATATATATATATATATATATATATATATATGTCGTACCTAGTAGCCAGAACTCACTTCTCAGCCTACTATTCAAGGCCCGATTTGCCTAATAAGCCAAGTTTTCCTGAATTAATATATTTACTATAATTTTTTTCTTATGAAATGATAAAGCTACCCTTTTCACTATGTATGAGGTCAATTTTTTTTTATTGGAGTTAAAATTAACGTAGATATATGACCGAACCTAACCAACCCTACCTAACCTAACCTAACCTATATATATAGGTAAGGTTAGGTTAGGTAGCCAAAAAAAGCTAGGTTAGGTTAGGTTAGGTAGGTTAGGTAGACGAAAAAACATTAATTCATGAAAACTTGGCTTATTAGGCAAATCGGGCCTTGCATAGTAGGCTGAGAAGTGAGTTCTGGCTACTAGGTACGACATATATATATATATATATATATATATATATATATATATATATATATATATATATATATATAATCAGATTTTTTTTGTAAAATAACAAAAATCACTGTTAGGCAAATCGGGCCTTGCAAATTAACCCAATTTATGCGTTCTGGCTAGCTATATATATATATATATATATATATATATATATATATATATATATATATATATATATATATATATATATATATATATATATATATATATATATATATTGAATTCTATTTTGAAGACAATGAGGGCTGAGGTAGAAGCATTGGTGTGCGTGTATATATGTATATGTATAATATATATATATATATATATATATATATGTCGTACCTAATAGCCAGAACGCACTTCTCAGCCTACTATTCAAGGCCCGATTTGCCTAATAAGCCAAGTTTTCATGAATTAATGTTTTTTCGTCTACCTAATCTACCTAACCTAACCTAACCTAGCTTTTTTTGGCTACCTAACCTAACCTTACCTATAAATATAGGTTAGGTTAGGTTAGG